TATTTCAATTTACATTTATATTAAAATACATTTCAGAGAGACACAAAAATATGGATATGAGAAAATGAAGCTTTAAAGAACTAAAAGAGATACTAGAGAGACAGCTGAGAAATTAAGTCAGTACTGCTCTTAGACATGATCTGAGTTCAGTCTCCAGCATCCATGCCCACACCAGGCAGCTCTTAACAACCTGTCAACTCCAGCTCCAAGGGAATGCAATGCCTCTGGTCTCCAAAGACACCTGCACACTCATGCACACACTGACCCCCCAAAATTAAATACAATAATAAAAATAAATATTAGAAAAGAATTTAAAACTTATCTCAGAAGGAGACTACTTTAAATATAAAAGCAAAGTCAAGTCATAAAAATGTAACTGTTGTGATGGCAAGATGGCTCGCTCACTGGGAAACGTGTTTGCTATATAAGCCTAATAGCCTGAGTTTGATCCCACAGATCCAAAATCATATTCTGACTTCCATACATGTTTCGTTCCATACATGCATGCATGCATGCATGGACCTACCACCCACATCATACACACAATAATATATATTTTTTAATGTTAAGTATTGGGCTAGAGAGATGGATCCATGGCTAAGAATGATTACTGCTCTTTCAGAGGACCTGAGTTAGGATCCCAACACCCACATCAGACAGCTTACAACTCACCATAACTCCAGCTCCAGGGTATCCAACAACCCATTCTTGGACTCCCAAGGGACCAGTGTTTACTGCATGTACATGCACATACACACACACACAATTTTCAAACAAAATAGATTTTTTTTTTTTTTTGGTTTTTCGAGACAGGGTTTCTCTGTGTAGCTTTGCGCCTTTCCTGGAACTTGCTTTGGAGACCAGGCTGGCCTTGAACTCACAAAGATCCGCCTGCCTCTGCCTCCTGAGTGCTGGGATTAAAGGCGTGTGCCACCACCACCTGGCTCAAAATAGATCTTTAAAAAATAAGTCAAAATATTTTAAAAATTCAAGGAAGGAAACAGGGGTTAGGAAGGAAGAGAAAGGAAGAAGACCTGTCAGCAAATACAAGGCAAGTGAAGAGCCAGGAAAAATATTTGCAATACAGAGCAAAAGGCTGCTATCCTAGATAGATAAAAGGTTCAATAAGATCTTAGAAGTATAAACACTGAATCATGGCCAACCTGAATTAAGACACACTACAAGTGGATGGTGTACATCATCACCAAAAACACAAAATATCCTACAAATAATCTCTCACATTCACATTCATCACATACTGAAAGCACTGTATTTTTGTTTTGTTTTTTGAGACAGGGTTTCTCTGTGTACCAGCCCTGGCATTGTAGACCAGGCTGGCCTTGAAGTCACAGGGATCTGCCAGTTTCTGGCTCCCAAGTGCTGGGATTAAAGGCATGCACCAACACTGCCCAGTTTGTGAAATACATTTTTATTTAACCTAACAAACAATATATATTACAGTCTTCCTCTTATATGGCTATGAGAAAATTTTAAATTACTTAACATGGCTCTGACTTGCAATTTGCATTGTATTTCTATGGGCACAACCACTGTAGTTCTATAAACCATAGTAAAACTGTGTCTGAATTTTATCTCATGGATTGAAAAGTCACTGCAGGACTTTGAGCCTGGGAGTACCATAATCTATAAACACATTCAGGGCTGGCAAGATGGCTCAAGTGGGTAAAAGTTCTTGCTGTGCAAGCCTGTTGACCTGAGTTAGATCCCAAGAACCCACGTAAACATGAAAGGGAGAACTGAGTCTACAAATCTGTCCTCTGACCTCCACACACACATGCTCCCACTCATATGCATCTCACACATGCCCCCCCACACGTTTTTTTTTTTTTTAAATACAATAAATATATTTAAATGTCCTCTTGCCACTGGAGCAGCCAGAGCAGACTATAGGGATAAGAACCTGAAGGAGGGTAGCAATTAGATGACTACTATTATCATCTTCTATAAAACAAAGGAGTTGAGACATCACATTTGGAGTAAGTTTTGAAAGTGGAGCCAGCCTATCCACATTTAGAACTCTTGAAATGCTCAATCCTGCCTCGGTCTCTAGAGTAGCTGGGACTACAGTGGCATAATAATACACACTCACATGCTTTGGTAAAAATTTTAAGAAAGACTTGGCAATCAATAGTTAAAAAGACTTTAAAATGTTCACATGCTTTGACAGCATCTGTACCAAGACTGACCTCTAAAGAAACATGTAATAATTTAGGAGATATAACATATACACAAAGGCCAAAGATATGCTTGACAAAATGTTAATTAACAATGCTTATCTGTGGTAGTACTGTAAGTGGTTTTTCTGCCTTCCTATTCATTTTTAAGCTGTGGGGGAAATCCCCAAACTCTCTGCCACTACCATTATAATGAAATACAAAACTATATTTTAAAAGCAGAGTCTATTAACCTATAAAAACAAAATATGTGCAAGCTACAAACATTAAAAATGCTCCTCTCAACCAGATGTGGTGGCATATGCCTTTAATCTTAGCACTGGAGGCAGTGACTGGGACACTCACCGAGTTCCAGGTCAGCCTAGTCTACATAAAGAGTCCTAGGCTACATACCCTGTCTAAAAAATAAAAAAAAGGCTCTTCTTTCATGCCTTCAACAAAACAAGTCATTTAAAGCTACAGTTATGTCTCTCTGTCTCTCTGTGTGTGTGTCTCTCTCTCTCAATTTGTCTGGAACTAAAAAAACACTTCAGTGTATGGCTGACAAATCTTGAAATTCCTACTGCACATGCACATTATCTGTCTCAAAAGCTGCACAGTGACAAGGGGGTCCTAATGTTTCCCTCAAAGGCTGGGCCCTCTGACAGATGCTCCCCTCCACCAAAGCCTGTTGCCAACTAGGTAGGGAAAGCTTAGTACAAGTTTCTTTTGCAAGAGTGTTTTAAGGCAACGAAGATTCCTCAATAATCTGCCAAAGGCTGCGGGAAGGGGAGGAGTGGTAGAGAACAGAAAGGGTGGCTTTACAAAACAAGTGTTTTCTCCAACTTGCTAGTTTTGCACTGAAAGGGTACCAAACAGTGCCAGACTTCCCACAATCTGCTTGAAGGGATTCAGTGTAAGGAGAGTAACAGGAATCTTAGTTCCTCATGCAAATATAACAACTAGGAACCAATCACCAGGACAATGACTCTTCCTGACTAAAGGAAGCAGAATCTTAACGTTTTCCTTCACTTTATTTCTCTTTTGCTCCTGAGTGCCTAAAACTTTCTCCTAGGATCTACAGTATTTACTTTAGACAGACAACTTGTGCAACTACTGCTGCAAGAAGAAAAGTTCGCAGAGTACATTTGTTAGAAGCAAAACAAGAAGCACTATCGCAACACTGGGGTTAGGAGAGGAACACATCATTAAAAAGCAATGAAACATTATGAACCACAACCATATACTATCTGTCCAAAGTTCAAAGGGAAAGGACCCTAAAATGACATGGTTTGAAGAGATGAGTCTGTGACAAAACTATTTTTTAAAAAGGCCAGTGAATGGTAAACAAAATCCACGAATCTAGAATGTTTACCTCAGAAACGGTAAACTGCAGTAGGCCAGATAAGAAACTCATGAGCAAATACAAGTTTGGGTAATGTTCTATTTCTTCCTTTGGGGTGAGGAGACTGGAATTTTCATTGCTTCCCTTTTTATAGTACATCGTGTTATGTATTACCCTAGCCATTAACCATTACTTTTAAAACTTCGCGACATAACTCACATACAATCTACTGTACAGACTTAAAATCTAGTGAGTTTTGACGTTAATTAACACAGTATGGCTGCAGTCAAAATAATACAGCAATTAAACCCGAACTTAACTGTCTGTGCGTCTTACCCCTCTTACATGTTTTTAAAAGAAAATTAAGACAACCTGTTTTGTACATTTAAA